GGGGGAAGTGTAGGGGGTGAGTTTCTGGGATTTACCCTTTGGGGGTGGTTGATGATGCATGGAGGGGATTGGAACATGGCAATGAGATGATATACGATTAAATAAACGTAAAACTAAAGTTCTCCCATGTAAACTATCATATAATTCACAATAAAACATTAAAAAAAAAAAAAAAGTGTGGAGGGGAAGGTAGAATCCCCACCGAATAGTGTTCATCTTGTCTAAATGGGTCTGGTGAAAGAAGATGGGCATAAGATTCTAATGATTCAATAGTGAGTAATTGTTATCATGACTAATTGCGCTTGTCACAACTGTAAAGGTAGAAGTTTTGTAACATATATCGGGGAGTAGTTAATCTTATAGTCTAGGAACAGAGGACCCTAGGACCATCAAGGGAGAAGAGCACGAGCAGAATGTGGGACCCTATCCAGAGAAGCAGCGACACCAGAGATGAAGGCAGAGATGCTGACATAGAGAGAGCAGCTGAGGACTCTAGACTCATGGAAAGAGAAAGGCTGTGTGCTGGAGGCCAGGAGGCAGAATGTGCCTTTGGTTGTTTAAATGATGATGTATTCCTGAGTGTTTTTGTGTATGTCAAAAACAGAGGGAATAGAAGTAAATACTATTGTATGATGATGCATGGAGGGGATTGTAATCATTGCAGTGAAATGAAATATGATAGAATGGGTGCAAAACCAATGTTCTCCCATGTAAACTACCACTCAATTCACAATAAAAGTTTAAATTAAAAAGAAAGAACACACTACCTTCAGAGGTGTATAGACCTAGACAGAAGTTATACCAAGAAATGAGTTTCACATTTTGATATTTTTGTTTAATAAAGGTTTCTATGGTTTTATGTTGTGTGCCATGGAGTCGGTTCTGACTCATAGCGACCCTGTACAGGGTTTCTGAGGTTGTAAATTTTTACGGGAGCAGAAAGCCTCATCTTTCTCCCGCGGAACAGCTGGTAGTTTCGAACTGCTGACCTGATGGTTCGCATAGGAATACTTTTTTACTTATCCTCATATTTTTAAATTTTTGATGCTTGTCTTACTTATTTGTAAGAGCTTTGGAAATATTCTGGAAATTAGGCATTTGTCTCTGATATTGAATTAAGGAAATTTACACCCTAGTGTGTCATTTATCTTATTAAGTTTGCATTATGGTAGTTTTTGCCACGCAGGCATATTTGTTTTTATGAAGTTGAATTTTTTAATCATTTATCTGAAGTCTCAAAACAAAAACTCCTCATATAATTGTTAAGTGCTGTTGAGTAGGTTCCTACTCATAGCAACCCTGTATAGGGTTTCCAAGGAGCAACTGGTGAACTTGAACTGCAGATCTTGAGGTTCAAACTGACCTTGCAGTCTAGCACATTAACCTGCAGCTCCATGCCAGGACTTCCTCAGATAATTACGCAGGGTTAATTTAAAGCCACTGGTATAATACAACTCCAGTGTACTTTGCAACAATAAATGTTTGAATAATGAATGAACGAGTATTTAGATTTTTTTACTTATAAGATTAAGTGAGTGCTTGAGATCAGAAACTAATAAATGATGGAACAAGAACTCATATCCAGGTCTTCACCTCAAATTCCAAGTGTTTTCAATGACTATATCACACATGAAGACAAACAGCATTTAGGGCACTAGTGAAGCAACTATTCCAAGGAATCTTACAGCTTTTAGTAACTACAGTTGCAACACCATTAATTTTATGTTTTGTAACAGAAAGAGATCTCTAAATGTAAGGCACATTCATTCAATGGAAACATAAAGACAAGTTATTTAACATGGGTTAGCATGACTTACATGTATCCACTTTTGCATGGCCTCCTATGGATTGTAAGAATTTAATTCTGTAAACGTTTATTGAACACACATGATATGAGGCATTGTTCTAGGAAGAGATACAGGCATGTAGACACATGTATGAGGCATTGTTCTAGGAAGAGATACAGGCATGTAGACATATAAGAATACTCATTGATAAATACGATAATAGAAATATGAACAAGACACAGGTGTTGCTCAGAGGAAGGAATGATTAGATAGCCAGGCAAGGCTTTGTGGAGGAGATAACAGTTCAGTCGGGACAAGGTTGATCAGAAGAATTCCTCCACCGTGTTCAACAATGCAGTGGGATGTGGCTCTCCAATTAGGAGGTCAATGCCACACACGAGGGGGCACTTTCCTGAAAAGTTCCAGAACTTGTGGGCAAGCTCCTACTGCTGTCACTTTGAAATGAGCTTTGGAAGAAGCTGTTGGTATCAATCCATGATCGTATCAGGGAGAAAGCAAAGTTCATGAAAGAATGTCCGTTTATTAGAACCCAGAAAGCTAGAGTAGTCTGAGTCCTTAGTAAAAAGTCCAGGCAGAAGAGTGGGGGAAAGAAAGGACAGCAAGTTTGACTATAATTAGCTTGGGGAGTATCACAGGTGGGGGAGGGATAAGAGGACAGCCGGCAACTATTTTGAGCCCAGCTTGGATTGACAGGACACATGTGCTGGACTGTACTGATCCCAGGGCCAAGTTGCCTGCCTGCGGTGTGTGGTCTTGGGGGGGGGGGGGGGGAGGCCTGGGACAGCAAGAACAGGACAGCCAGACAGGCAGGCCGGACGGAGTACCAGCACCTCAACTTCTCTCCCTAGGACGGACACTCTCTAAACTCCAAGGGCCATAGACCAAGCTGAGCTATGGGTGCTGAGGAAGAGGTGCTGGTCACTCTGTCAGGGGGAGCCCCCTGGGGTTTCCGACTTCAGGGGGGTGCCGAGCAGAGGAAACCATTACAGGTGTCCAAGGTAAGGGGAGAGCTCCTGAAATGAGGCTTCAGGGAAAGGGGAACCCAAGGAAACCTGGAAAGAGTCATGTGGTGGCTGGGAGGCTGTGAAGACAAGCAGTGGGGGAAAAGGAGGTGGGCAGGGAAGCATGCTCATGTTCGGTGGGTGTCTGACCACAGGCTTCTTGTGGAGGGTGGGGAGGGGCGGGCACTAAAAAAAAAAAATGGAATTCCTGGTTTCCAGGCAGCAGGGGAAAGAAAGGTTCTGCTTCAGTTCCCTGAGGCACCATGGGGGCAGAGGCCCAGGCCTGGCCCTGCTCTTTGCTCTACTAGGTCTGTGCCTCTACTTCAAACTCTAGGAATGTAGGGAAGGTTCTAATTTCTCTCTGACAAACTGATAAGTGATGAGCTGAGACTGCCTTACCCAGCCCAGCCCAGCCCAGCCCTGCCCATGCCTTCAATGCTCCCTCTTCTTAAACCAGACCCTTTCTCTCACTACCAGCTGTCCTCAAGTCAATTCTGACCCATTGTGACCCATGTGTGTGCATGCAGAACCATGTTCCATAGGGTCTGATTTTTCAGAAGTGAATTGTCAAGCTTTTCCTCTGAGGTGCTTCTGGGTGGATTCAAACCTCCACACTTTTGGTTAGCAGACATTTGTACTCTCTAGGGACATTTGTACTCTCTAGGGACTCTTTAAAGGAGTTCTGGTAGCGTAGTGGTTACGAGTCGGGCTGCGAACTGCAAGGTCAGCAGTTCGAAACTACCAGCTGTTCCGGGGGAGAAAGATGAGGCTTTCTCCTCCCATAAAGATTACAGCCTCAGAAACCCTGTAGAGGGTCACTGTGAGTCGGAACTGACTCCACGGCACATAACCACCACCAGGGACTCTTTGTTCTTAAAAGGCAAGGCTTCTTTGGTGCAAGGAGGGTCATGGAAAGGTCTAGCCTTTTAGATGAAGTCATTACTCTTTTGGTTTCACCCTATAGGCCACTGACTTCTCATGCCTCAGTTTTTTCAACTATAAAATATAAGTAATAATAGCGCCTACTTCATAGAACCATGTTAAGGATGAAAATCAAATAATAGACGTAGGGTGCCTGACATTTAGTAAACATTCAGTAAATGGTAAACACTATAACTATTATTACTCTAAAATATATGTGTATGCATGTACGCAAAAAGGAACTCTGGTAATATAGTGGTTACAAATTGGGCTGCTAATCTCAAAGTCAGCAGATTAAAACTACCAGCAGTTCCGGAGGAAAAAGATGAAGCTTTCTGCTCCCATAAAGATTTACAGCCTCGGGAAACCCTATGCAGGGTCGCTATGAGCGGGAACCGACTCCATGGCACATAACCACCACCACCATCATGTACACAACGCATACACATACACACACAATCACAGTCTCCAGGAATCTGGCTGTATTTGTTCTGATCAGGAATACTGTTCTAACCTCTTGACTGTGTAGATAATGGCATCTAGGATTCCAAGGCCTAAAAGAGAACTACTAACCAGTGTGTACATAACCTTGCCCTTGGAAGAAAACGTGTGGCTGTAACCACCATATCTAGTACCTCCTCCATGCAATTATTCCCAATCCTCTTTCATTCAGTGGTTACCCTAACTCTCCCTGTATAATGTTATTCTCGCCACTTCCACCTTCCTCCCTCTAGACGGGCCTCCTTCAACTGTAACCCTAGGTCTCCCCAGCACCTCCGACCCCTTTTTACCCTGCAAAGTAAAATCCCCTTCACAAAGAGTCCTTCCTGTCCTAACTGCTTTCATTCGATTTCTCTTGGAGCCTTCCCTCATCTACGCTCTCTCCCTTCTCAGATCCGAAGACGGAGCCAGGCTGGCAGAGCAGGACTCCGAGAGACGGATCAGCTTTTGGCCATCAACGGGGTCTCCTGCACTAGCCTCTCTCATGCAAGTGCCATGAACCTCGTTGATGCCTCAGGGAATCAGCTTGTCCTCACTGTGCGGAGGTACGGTTTGGAGGCCCCTACCTGTTCTCCGAATCTAAGCATTGCCTTCAGGTCTCCCATTGCCTGTTTCAGCTCGACCTCTCACTAGCCTGGCTTCAGCAGCTGTCACGTGCCCATTTCCACTTATGTGTTTGTGCTACAGTGTAGATGTTTGTATATGCCTCCCAAGGGGCCTGAATGTACGTGTATTTCAGGGATGGGGTGTCAAATGGATATATGAGTTAGTGTGCATACTTCAACCCTGGGCTCATCTTCTCCTCATCTTATCACCTACACCCATTTCTTCTCAGGGCCCTCCAAGCACCTTTGCCTCCCAGTTTGTCTTCAGCTCGCTCTTTCCAGATCATTCATTCCACCTGTCTCACGGTCCCTTCTCCTTCTATCTTCTTCCTCCATCTCCTGCAGCTCTCTCTACCTGTCGGTTACCTGACCCATCTCTCAAGTTCTGACATTTCCCCCCTACAGGGTAGGGGACGAAGGGCCTGTACTACGATCACCATCTCCCAGTGAACTTCAGGTGCTATCACCTGTGTCTCCACTGAGTCCTGAGCCTCCCGGTGCTCCAGTCCCCCAGTCTCTGCAGCCTGGGAGCCTTCGTTCACCCCCTGACAGTGAAGCTTACTACGGAGAGACAGACAGTGATGCAGAGGGCCCTGCTACCCAGGAGAAGACCCGCCGCCCTCGCCGCCGAGGCCCCCTGAGACCCACCCCTCCAGGAGCTCCACCTGAGGAGAGCTACCTATCAGATAGTCCTGCAGAGCCAACCCCTGCAGTCCCCGGCCCTCCTAGCCAGAGCGACAGCAGAGTGAGCTCCCCATCTTGGGAGGATGGGACAGCCTTTCAGCCACCCCCAGCCGAAGCCCTGCTGTTACCGCGTGGACCCCTCCGGCCTGGTCCTGACCTCATTCCTATGGTAGGGCCTGTTCCCCACCCAGTGGCAGAAGATCTTACTACCAGCTACACCCAGAAGGCCAAACAAGCCAGTGAGTGCCTGCATCCCTTATTCCCAAGCATGGTGCGCCAATTTGGGCCCTAAATCTACCCCTGTAGATCTACATTCACCTTGCCCTTCTTTGGGAGATGGTCTTGAGACAAGGGGAGAAGAGTTACAGTGGGAGAGGAAAATAACATTCTCACGACCTCTCTTATTTCTGCTGTTTGAACCCAATGTGGCAAAAAGGCACAGGTAGTTCAACCTAACGCAGGTACAGAGCAGATAGAGAAGTTAGAAAGGAGCATGAATAGATGTAGGGTTTGGTGGTAGTTGTTACTTTGTTAGGTACCAGGATAGGGGAGAAGTTAGAGTGTGAGCATGGGGCTGGGGAGGATTTGGAAGCAGGGCAGGGCTGAGGAGATCTTCCAGTGTTATTTGCAGGCATAGCATCAGAGCTACTTTTCATATGTGTAACTTCAGTTAGGATTCCTGAGGACTCTGGGACTAGGGGTTGGTCATGAGATCCCTAGGAAGTGGTAGAAGGGAGGGCTTGCAGCTCTTTATCTCAGGCAAGAATGTAGGCCTGGGCAGAAAAAGCCAGTTCAACTTATCTCAAGCTCTTTGCTATTTTTGATGTGAGCTGCGGAACAAAGTCCAAGAGTGAACTTGCTCCCTGGTCCTCATACTACTCCCAGAAAGACCATTCATTCACTTCTACTCTTCATCTCTCTTCTTTCCCCTCCACTCTTCCTGAGTTAGAGAACTCTGTGCCTCTGGACAGCGCTTAATAAGAACAATCAAAGTCTAGAACAAAGGAGCCCTGGTAGGATAGTGAGTTATGAGTTGGGCTGCTAATCACAAGGCCAACAGTTTGAATCTAGGTGGGAGAAAGATGAGGTTTTCTGCTCCTGTATAGATTTATAGCCTTGGGAACCCTATACAGGGTCGCTATGGGTCAGAACTGACTCGATGGCACTTAACAATAACAACAACAAAGATTTAAAGCCTTGGGAACCCTATATAGGGTCACTATGAGTCAGAACTGACTCATAACACACAACCATCACCATCATCAAGTCTAGAATAAACACTAACAACATCACCGTTTAGAGTCTGACATCTCTGAGAGAGTCCAAGACTCCACAAAGAAATTCCAGATGCAAGCCCAGGATCCCATGCTTATCCACGATTCTTATTTTAGCACACACATCTCCCTTCACATCATGCTGGCTGAAACTGTAGTTAGTGAATCTGGGATATTTTTAGCCAAGCAAGCCTCATTGTCAAATGGTGTGTGTATATGTGTGTGTGTGTGGCGGGGGGGGCGGCTAGGCAGGTGCTGACATCCGTCACACCAAGGCTTGTGGGGCAGCTGAGAGAAGGGAGAGGTCCAAGTTCCAAAAATAACCCCATGAGCTCATTCAGCTGCCAGTTCTGGGGACCAGACAAAGGGGCTTTAAAAGGCATGGGGGTAGCTCAAGCTGGTCCTGCTCCAGCCAACACTGCCTTTGCCAGCATGGAGACCTTTGAGTCCATCAGCCAAGAGCCCCTCAGCCAAGCCTGCTGTGACAAAGCCCCAGGCCCAGATCCTGAGCTCCAGGACCCATTCTATGCAGGTACTACCCTCCCATATTCAAGAAAGTTCTGGGATCCAGAGGAGACGGAAATGTATCAGCAGTTTAAGAAGGAGGTCTTTGGGAAAGATCTTATTCCCTTGTCCTCCTCCTCCTCCTTTTTTTTCTTCTTCTTTCTCCTCTTTTTGAGAGTGCCACTCACTACTGCTGTCTCAGAATGGTTTGATGCTATGGCCACTTGTCAGAGTGGTTTGTGACCACCACATGGCTGATAGAAAGCTCCTGGGGAGAGGGAATGAGATGTGAGCACACTATGAATACATGAAAGCGTGTATGTGTGTATGTGTGTTTAGGGGAATAGAGAAGAACTATGCGAATAAGAAAGTGCCCATATACTTAAGTGTAGAACTAGTATCAAGAAGATAGTAACAGCTCCCCACCGGGAATCTGAGCACTGTGTCAAGTGCTCAGTTTGCCCCCACTGCTCTCCTACCAGCTCTGTGAGGTAGTCATTATCAACTTCATTTACAGATCAGGAAACTGATCTTCATGCTCCCAAGCTTCCAGACCCCAAAACCTTGCAGAGCTGGGGTTGGAACAAAACCCTGATTCTAGAACCTGTTCTTCCCTTCACAGTGCTCTTCTGTTATAAATGTTGGGATGAAACGCATGAGAGCCGGAATTAGAAAGACAATTCTTTGGCATCTTGAATGGCAAGTAGATGGAATTTCAAAATATTTTCAGGAACTCTGGACAAAAGAATATTGGTGTCCAAGGCAGGGTTCCAGTAGCAAGGCAGCCGCTCCCATTTCCTGGCCCCACCTACCCAGGCCCCATATGGTGTGGGAAGTCTTGCCTTGACTCCCTTTAGCACATAGTCCCCTGCATGCTTGTCTGGGAGTAGCTGCCCAGGCTCTCTACTTAGAGGTCTTGAAAAAGAGGGGGACAGCTCTGATCTTCAAAGAAACCCACCCATCAAGTTTTGGAGAAAGGAAAAGATATTTAGGTGGTGACCTTGAGGTTTCGTAGGATGTGGAGGGTTACTTTCGAGAACAACACTCTGACTTTTCCTGTATTTTGGATTGAAGACTACCTACCCTTGGCTGTAAGTAGCAGAGGTGTGAGGCACAGAGGGATGCCCGGTGGTTGGAAAGCAAATATCAGTTCTAAGATTTCGTCCACATAGTTAGGAACTGTGTCTTTCCTCTGGTGAAGAAGGACCACCTGGAATGTGTCTGTGTCATAACGTAACTGTTTTGTGAGCACATGTATTTATATATGTGTATGTGAACGTGAATGTGTGAGAAAGGGAAAATGTGAATGAGATGTATATTTACACATGAGTAAATATACCCCTAGCTGGCTTTTCATTGACAAATATTCTTGTTGAAATGATGTTTGATGGTAAGTATTTCTCTGAATGTTTGTATATGATGCATGCTGCATGATGGGGGTGGCTCTGTGAATGAAAATCCTCATTGTTTATGGATCATAGGGACAGGGGTAGAAAGAGGACATAGTTCCCAGGGGTTCAAACTGTGTGAGAAGCCTCCTAAGGTGGCTTCTGTTTCTATAGGGGAAAAAAAAGTGTCCCTTATCATCTTTTTTTTCCTGGCACTTGCTCCAACTCCCTTCCTACTGTAAGGAGTGATCTATCCCAACCATTGCTAGCTAGGAATGGAAGAAGGCAGGGAGGAATGTGTGTGAAGTGGGTAAGAGCACATCTCCAGGAAGACTGGAGCAGAGGAGAGGGAAGAGAGGAGAGGAGGAAAGCTGTGGTTAGGACGGAGTCAGGACAGTCAGCTGGAGCCTGCCTTTCTTTCAGCTGTCCTTGGTTTCACCTTCCACTCTCCACTCTGCCCCTAAGTCAGATAACTTTGCCACAGGCAGGAGACACAGTAGGTTTGGTCAGTGAACAGAAGGGAGGCCCAAGGGAGCTAGGACACAGGACTAGAAAAAAACTGGGAAGCCCCATTGACCATTCTCTCTCCTGGCCTCCTCAGAACTGCAACACGCAGAGAGCCTCCAGGAGAAGAGTGTGAAGGAGGCCAAGACCAAATGCCGGACCATTGCATCCCTGCTAACTGCCGCCCCCAACCCCCACTCCAAGGGGGTGCTTATGTTTAAGAAACGGCGGCAGAGAGCTAAGAAGTACACGCTAGTGAGTTTTGGGGCTGCGACTGGGACTGGGACTGGAGTTGAGGAGGAAGAGGACGGTGTCCCCCCAACAAGTGAGTCTGAGCTGGAAGAAGAAGCCTTCTCAGACGCCCGCAGCCTTACCAATCAGTCTGACTGGGACAGCCCGTATCTGGACATGGAGCTGGCCAGGCCTCGCTCAGGTGCAGCAGAGGGTCAGAGTCCTGGGCTTGGAGGGCAGCTGAATGAGGCCTCTGGACGAGGGGCCCAGCTCTTTGAACAGCAGCGCCAGCGCGCAGCCTCCAGCTCCCAGGAGCTGGCTCAGGATGGCCCACCAGCCTTGTTTAATGAGCAGGCTCTGCAGTCACCCCTTCGTGCTCAGAGTGCACCTCCAGAGGTGACTGAACTCCCCCCCAGCCCTCTGCCCACCCTTGTAGCCAGCACCCCCAGACCCTTTTTTCCTGGCGGGGGGGCCCCTTCCCAGGCTTCTGGTATCTTTAACCGGTCAGCCAGGCCCTTTACTCCAGGTTTACAAGGGCAACGCTCAGGTACCACCTCAGTTATTTTCCGGCCCCTAGCTCCCAAAAAAGCAAATGAAAGCCTGGGCGGCCCCAGCCCCGCTCCACCTCCCTTTTTGTCTTCTCCTCAGGGGACCACCCCTTTGTCCAGTTTTACCCCCGAGGTTTCTAGTCATGTGCCGGCCCTGGGTTCCCCCAGCACCCACCAGTTCTCAGGCCCGGTGACAGCCACCAGTTCCCTGTACATCCCAGCCCCCAGTCGGCCTGTTACTCCAGGCGGAGCCCCGGAGGCCCCCACTCCTTCTAGCGCTGCTGCCATGACCTCTACTGCTTCCATCTTCCTATCGGCGCCTATGCGATCAGCAGGCCGCCCAGAGGCGGCCCTCCCGGGCTCAGCTGCACCTGAGCCTCCCAGCGCGCGTGAGCAGCGCATCTCGGTGCCAGCTGCCCGCACAGGCATCCTGCAGGAGGCCCGGCGCCGGGGGACTCGGAAGCAGATGTTCCGGCCGGGAAATGAGGAGACGAAGAACTCTCCCAACCCCGAGCTTCTGTCACTGGTGCAGAACCTGGATGAAAAACCTCGGGCCGGGGGTGCAGAATCTGGTCCTGAGGAGGATGTTCTGAGCCTCGGGGCTGAAGCCTGCAACTTCATGCAGCCACCAGGGGGCAGGAGTTACAAGACCCCGCCTCCCTTGACACCCAAAACCCCGCCTCCCATCGCTCCCAAGACTCCACCCCCTATGACACCTAAGACTCCACCCCCAGTAGCCCCTAAACCCCTATCTCGAGGGTTCCTTGATGGGCTGATGAATGGGGGGGTCCCTTCATCCCGAATGCCTGAGCCACCAAGGCTGCAGGGCAGGGGTGGGGAGCTATTTGCTAAACGTCAGAGCCGCGCAGACAGGTTTGTGGTGGAAGCTACGCCGGGTCCTGCCTTTGGCTCTAGCACTCGGCCCAGAAGCCCTTCTCCTACTCCTTCACTGCCCCCATCCTGGAAATATTCTCCCAATATCCGTGCGCCACCTCCTATTGCTTATAACCCACTGCTCTCACCTTTCTTCCCTCAAGCTGCCCGAACTCTCCCTAGTAAGGCTCAATCTCAGGGGCCCCGGGCAACCCCCAAGCAGGGTATCAAGGTTCTTGATTTCATGAGACACCAGCCCTACCAACTGAAAACTGCCATGTTCTGTTTTGATGAGGTTCCCCCGACTCCAGGCCCTACTGCTTCAGGCCCTCCCAAAACTGCCCGAGTCCAGGAGATCCGCAGATTTTCCACACCTGCTCCCCAGCCCACTGCAGAGCCCCTGGCCCCCACAGTGCTTGCTCCACGAGCAGCCACTACACTGGATGAGCCCATCTGGAGAGCAGAGCTGGCCTCAGGCCCTGCCCCTAGCCCAGCCCCGACTCCAGAGTCTCCCAGGGGCCTTGGAGCCTCCTCCAACTATTGTGGCTTCCAGGTAACCAGACCAAGGTTCTCAGTTACCAGAACAGGATTGCAGGCTCACGTGTGGAGGCCTGGGGCAGGACACTAGTAAGCAGAGCACAACTCCCAGGACCAAGGAGAGGTGGAACATATCTGTTCCTAAAGTTGCTACTCCTACCCCATCCCACTCCTTCCTCTCAAGCATTTGGAGGCTAAAGCTCCCTGCTGTGGGAGATAGTCTAGGAGCTGGTGTCTCATCCTCCAGCTACCTTATTACTCTTTGTCTCTGTATTTCCTTCCCTGGATCTCTCTGTCTTTATTCCCAGGTCTCTCTTCCCATAACCATTTTTCCACTCATCTCTGTTGCCCTACCTTTGTGATTTTCTCTGTGGGCCTCTTTTTAACATTCATTGAAAAGTACTCAGAGACGTTACCACTGGGAACTCTGGCAAGATGCTCACCACCAGACAGACAGCAAAAGGAATGAACTGATGCCTGTTTGCACTCAACCTGTCCCTCTTCTTTCCCAGACGTGGCTGGCATATACCCAGGCATGTATGTGTGTGTATGTGCAAATATAAATATGTTCTTCTTACGGCAAGAGTAAGTGGGAAGGTGGAAATAAAGGCCCAATTTGGGAATAATATTATTTCCACATGGATTGTCTAGTGATGAGAAAGAGATGGACTAGAGAATAGCTCCTTAGAGACCACCATCTACAGCAGATGCACAGCGGCTTGTGAAACTTACGAGCTATGAGCATATTGAAGGACCAGGATATCATGCATGGGCTGTTAAAGCAGCCAGACCAAGTTAGAACTAGGAATTCAGAAAATTAGCAACTTGAGAAGCCCATGCTGAACACCCTAGCATCCAGGAAATGATAAAATATAAAATTTCCTCTGAGAATGGACAGATGATTGGCTTTTTTGCCTTGTGAGTCTCAAGTAGAAAGGCAAGAGGAAGGAGCCAAGGTGTGGACAATGAGTCAAAAACCAGGAGCAGAACAGAAATGAATGATAAGGACTGAGCCATAGAGAAGAGCTTGATGAGGGAGAGCCTAGTGCGAACAGAGTGCAGTTGGATAACAAGAAACCAACAGTGTACAGGGAGGGGATTGGGCAAAGTTTGGGAGAGAGGAATGTATTTGTCAGTATAGTGAAGGGGGATGATGGGGGTGTGTGAGAGTGTATGCAGAGTGTTGAAATGATAGCTGGAGACTGTGCTGCCTTTGAGTCTGTCCCTTACTCTGTCTTCTGCAGCCTGTCATGATGACCTGGGAAAGGACAGAGAAAAGACCAGAGCCAAACCCTCCCTTTATTCCTAGCCTACCCCTCAGAACTCCTAACTGCAGTTCCTTTCCAACATCAGGCCCTGATCTCTGATCTTAGATGGGTATGGCCTCCCCTCTCACTTTGTCCACCACCAGCCATGTTTGCTGCTTGATTGAGAAACTAACTGATCATGTCTTTTGCATATTAGGTGTGAGTCACGGTACTTTGTTTTGTGCACAAAAATAAATTTATGCCCCAGAACTTCTGTTGCTGTCATCTCTTCTAGTTGTCTATCCAAATCCTGATCTTGATATTCTCTAAGTCATTTCCCTGATCTGATTTCTGAACTCCTTCTCCCATTCCTGACACCCATTTTTTTCAAGCCTTTGCCATTCATCCCCTGGTTTTTGGCTTTTCTCTACCAATTCCATTCTGCTCCAATTAAACCATTTCCCTTGGCTTTCTCTCCATGTATTCTCCATCCAGATTCTTTTCCTTTCCAGCCCCTGATCCATACTTTCCAGGCATGGTCTCAGCTTTCAGAACTAAAAGAAGTTAGAAAGGTCATCTGGGCCTTTAACCATGAACATTTCCTAGCTTCATAGAGGGAGTAATCGTGTTAAACAATCTTTTGGAATGAAATGGCTAGGGATGAAAAGGGAATGGGAGAAGGGAAAAGGAGAGAAAAGTGGATCCGTGTGGAGTTAGATTAGTTAAGAGACATCACTAGAGATGGTTGTTGTTGTTAGTGCCGTGGAGTCGGTTCCGACTCGTAGAGTCCCTGTATAAGGTTTCCAAGGAGTTGTTGGTGAGTTTGAACCATCAACCTTGTCCAGGGCTTTACCCACAGTGCCACACTAGGCTGGAATAAAGGTTTCTGAGAAGGAATGTGCCATTGCTCCAATTTTACCAGCAGGGGGCATATTTATGCTAATAATCAGGCCCAGGACATTGATAATTTCTTGTACACAGCCTCTCAGAATTCCAAGGGACGCGCCCAGAAAGCACAGTAGGCTAAATTTTCTGTCTTCATCCACCTTGGTAGTTTTAAGTAGACAACCATGGATAAACAAGAAAAATTTCACCTTTTGTTTTTAAGGGGGAGAGGGTAGAAGTGATGATAAAATCACATTTTGCTGTTTATATATTTTCTCCTAATTGCTTCTTCAGAAGAGAGAAGATGAGGGTACTGGAGGCATACTGGTCTTAGCAGGGACGAACAAAAAGCAAGGGAGAACATTTTAGTCCCTAGTCTATACCTGTAGAGTATAGGATGGGAGAAAGGTATGGACGGGAAGAGTGGGGAGCTCAAAGAAGGACTGAAAGATCTGGGAGTTATGAAAGCCACTTCCACAGGCAGTTGCCACCGTGTGGTATGGTTACAATTAGAAATACAATAGCAAGTGGTTCCAGATTCAGAGCAGAAGGTAGCGGAAGATCCAGGATATTCACACAGCCTACTGAGGAAGGGGATGGGTCAATGATAGCTTTCCCTTCATGGGGCTTTCAAGCTTATGCCCCTGCTCAAAGTTTACTTTTGTAATGGGGCAGCCCAGGGCCTGTGGGGTGTGTAAACCCTTTGAAGGAAAGCCCAAGTAGGACCCTCAGAGAACATTGCCCTGGCAGATCAGAAGCCTACATGTGCATGTGAGGGACACATCAACATCTATTCTGTAGAGTAGGCTGATGTGGGCTCCCCTAAATAGAAGAACCAAGTGTTCTAAGAACTGCCAGAGTTTAAGGGGGGGAAAAAAGTGAGATGGACAGAATTGCTCTGTCTTCCCCACATCGTTCCTGACTTTCTGACTGCCTAGAAGCATTGGCTTTGGTTAAATTGATCCCTTATCCTGCCAAGATCTGCCTGCAACAGAGGAAGATCAGCTCATCGAGAAACTTGAAAAGAGCAGTTTTATTGTGAACAGAGGGAGCACTGGTAAACACTGAACTTCGAGCCACAAGGTCCACAGTTCAAGCCCGCCAGCCACTCAGTGGGAGAAAGATGAGGCTTTCTGCTCCCGTGAAGAGTTAAAACCTCAGAAACCTGATACAGGGTTGCTATGAGTCGGAACCAACTCCACTGCACCTAACAACAAAACAACATTGTGAACAGATGTTTGTTCCCTTCCCAAACATAGTGCCTTAAGCCCTCCTACCCCCAAATACACCCACAGGTCCCTCCAGCTCCCATCTAACTTGGCTCAGGGCATGTTCGTTCTCTTTCTCCCACTATGAATTCCTGTCCACTCCTTGCTGCCTGTCTCCTCTCCCTCTGTCTTGACTTTCTCCCCGAATGATTCTCTGGATCTATCTCCAAATGCTAAGGGAAGGGAAGCTCTCCCTAGGCAAAATAATGCCTGACTCCCACAGCTCAATTGGAGAATCCTAAAGGCCTTTTACCTCCTTCAGGAGCCTCTGGGTAAGGAGGGCGGGATCTTGGTTCCAGGGTCTCAGTACCCCCTGTGCCATTTGAGCTGCTTGCACGCATCATCTCTATTAATAACCACCTTCCCTCCCTCACTGCCAGTGCTGCCCCTACGCCTGTCCAGCTTGGGTTCTCGGTCACAGCAGCACAGTCCTCCAAAGCTGCTGGACCCCAGAGAGAGCTGACCGCTGCTTGAGCCACCGGTAAGTCCAGCTCTATGGCCATGGGAGGAGCTGGAGTCCACTCGACTTACTTCTGTGTCTGTGTCTATAATTGTTAGTTTTCATCATGTGTGAGTTCCTCCCCACCCCATCTATGTTCAGCTCTCAGCTGCCCAATTCAGGGGAGCCACAGAGGGTTGGAAAGAGAGGGATCCTAGAGGGAACAGAGATCCTGGGAGAGGCACTTGGAGGAACCCAGGTCTAAGAGGCTGATGGAGAAAAGAATCTGGGAGGGGCTGTGATAGGTATAGGGAGATGATGACCTCCATTTAGCAGTTCTTGGACTCTTTTCTCAGCAGACTCCACCAGGTTAGTCGAGGTGCAAATGTGTTTGTGAGACAGTACTCAACAGAAGGGCGGATTTTGTTGAGGGCTGATTCTGTGAAGGAGGAGCTGAGTCTATATCTGTTCCCAGCTTGTCCTCCTTCACTGTCAGATCCTATTACTATGTTCCTATCTTCTGCTATGATACTGCTGAATTGACTGGTATCAGTGTTCAAATGCTCCCTGCCACCCCCGCCCCCACCCCAATGTCAATTCTGGGATCTGGGGCGGGGGTAACTGAAGGGGAGCACAGCCATGACCTTCCAGGTCAGGTTCCAGCTGACCCAGTGAAGTAACCACAATCTCTCCTCCTTATGGAGAGTGCTTCTGGCTGAATCCCCCACAACCCTGGCACAACGTTTCTCTGCTCCACCCCCCATCCACGGGGTTTGAGGAAGACCAAGAAGAGACCAAAGCCTGAAATCATAGACCCATTCTGAGATCCCAATGTCAATAAAAACTTATGCCAATGAAACCTCAGTGCCAATATTTTGCCAGGGTTGCCTTTTTTTTTTTTTTTTTAACCCCACTGAGCTGTGTTCCTAATCCCTGCACCACCTCTGTGTAAAATAGTTTAATTGAGGGTGGGGGCAAGAGGTACCTCCTGCCCTGCCTCCCAGGAAGAGAGAAGTCCTAAAGCTGTGGGTTTCTGCCTTTTGTAGGAATCCATATTTCTTTGAGAATCTGATGAAATTTTGCCCCCTAGCCCTCTTAAGTAGTATTGCCCTAAAATAGAAAACAGGTTTATTGGTAAATCCATACCTTTCCCTGTCTCTGTTCACCTCCAATTTCTCCTTCCCATCCTGTCCAGGGTGAATCCCCCTCCACAATGCCTCTGTCAGGAACCCCAGCGCCCAATAAGAAGAGGAAATCCAGCAAGCTGATCATGGAACTCACTGGAGGTAAGACAAGAATGCAACTGTCTAGTGTGGGACTTCCAATTAAGATCATCCCTGTCCCAAGAGTCCCAGAAATATCCTGTTTACATATGTCTTAGTTTGAAGGGGCAAGAGGGACTCCAATGCAGAGGAGAGGCGAGAAGGGAGTAGAAAGGACGAGACACTGATGACTCCCCTTTCCACCTTGTAATCTGAGGCGATGCAGTGCCATGTTACCTAGGTAGGTCCAGGATCACAGAACCGCATGCCAATGGGTGTATGTTTGAGGAAGAAAACATACATGGCAGAGACTGACGCAAAGGAAGGTCTCAGTAAATGGATAATTTCTCTCTGAGAAATTAATTAGTTTGCTTACTTCTTTCCCCAGAGGTAGGATGTCTGGGGAACTGTGCAGGCATTTCTTCTAGGCTTAGGCAGGCAAGCCAGGTGGCAAGATCTCTCCCAATACCCTGAGGCTGTTTGGAGCCAGAGTTCATAGAGGGGGAGGATAACTGAAAGGAGTTAAGACAGGAGACTGTTGTTGTTGTTGTTGTTAAGTGCTGTTGAGTTGGTTCCGACCCATAGCAACTGTATAGGATTTCTGAGGAGCAGTTGGTAAGCTTGAACTGCTGGCCTTGAGGTTCAAACATAAGGACTCGGAAGACTGTGTTTAGAGGTGACCAATGGTGTGGCGCTGTAGGCCGATGCGTCAGACTGCAAAGTCATTTGAACTGCAAGGTTGGTGGTTCAAGCTCACCAGCTGCTCCTTGGAAACCCTATACAGGGTCACTATGGGTCGGAATCGACTCAATGGCTCTTAACAACAACAACAACGATTCCATATTTGGACTCCTGGTGTGGCACTGTGGAGTCATGTGCTGGACTACAAAGTCAGTTTGAACTGCAAGGTCAGTGGTTCAAGCTCACCAGCAGCTCCTTGGAATCCCTGTATAGGGTCGCTATGGGTCGCAACTGACTCAACGGCACTTAACAATAACAATTCCATATTCAGACTCCTGGTGTGGTGCTTTAGGATAAGCACTGGACTGCTAACTGCAATGTCAGAGGTTCAAACTCACAAGCCACTCTGGAAATTCTGCACCGGTTGCTATGAGTCAAAACTGACTCCACGGCACTTAACAACAACAATTCCATATAATATTGGCCTTTGGTCTTTCTCCCATGCCATAGTTTCCTCATTGTCTCCACCTACAGTACTCCTTTACCTATTTTGCCTTATACCCATTACCCATATCCCTCTTACCCATCTACCCTCTCCACTCTAGGAGCCTTACTATCTCTACTCTGCAGTCCAGTTTCCATGCACTCATTCTAAATCCAAATCTAAGAAGTCAAAATTTAGACAAACTAGACAGTTTGTTCAGACATCACAGACAGCACCTTTCCCCTAACGGCACATAACCCGAACCAAGAAAACCCTCTTTCCCAAGCCTCTTCCTCCTTACCTCCCTGAAAGGTGGGCAGGAGAGCTCAGGCCTGAACCTGGGCAAGAAGATCAGTGTCCCAAGGGACGTGATGTTGGAGGAGTTGTCACTGCTCACTAACCGGGGCTCTAAGATGTTCAAACTGCGGCAGATGCGGGTGGAGAAATTTATCTATGAGAACCACCCTGACGTCTTCTCTGACACCTCAATGGTGAGTTGAGAACACTACCACTCTCTTACATCTTTTTCTGACAGCTTCTTGGTAGGACTGGCGTCTCCGTCTCCAAAATATCACCAGCCTCCCCTCTCTGCAAATTCATTAACTCATTATAACCCCCAGATATATTGAATCCCCAACAGTCTGTGGCGAGTTACAGCCAACCTGGAAAGCTCAGTGAAAGTGGGCTGGAGGGCCGACAGAGGTACCACATCCTCAGGGAGAAAATTCCCTCCCAGTTTGGATGTCTTAGGTCTCTAGTACTGAAATACCATAGGCAGGTGACTTTGAAAAACAGAAATGTATTTTTTCACACTTTAGGAAGCTAGAAGTCTGAATTCAGGGTGTCAGATTTTGGGGAAGCCTTTGTCTGTCAGGTCTGGAGGAAGGTCTTTGTCTCTTTTGAGTTTCTGCTTCTGGAAGATCTTCATGTGGTTCAGCATCTGCCTTCTCCGATCTCTGCTCTTTGAATCCTTATTTAATCTCTTTTATATCTCAAGAGATTGACTCAAAACACATCCCACACTTAACCCAGTCTCATACACATACCAAAGACAACCCACTCCCAAATGGAATTGTAACCACAGGCATAGAGTCTGGAAACTATAACACATATGTTTTTGGAGATACAATTCAATTCATAACATTGAGTAAGTGGTAAAGCTAGGGTTGCCACTTAAAATATAGAATGCTTAAATTTGTATTTCAGATATACAATGGGCAAGTTAGTATAAATCTGTTCCATGCAATGTTTGGAACATAAAAATAAAGTAAAAATATAAGAAGTCCAGTTAAACTTGAGTTTCAGATGCACGCACAGAATTTTTGGCATAAACATTGATGCTGACTAATGGCGATCCCAGGTGTACAGAGTAGAACTGTGCCACAGGTGTGACCTTTCAGACGCAGATCGCAAGGCATATCTTCTGAGGCACCGCTGATGAATTTGAACTGCCAACCTTTCAGCTAGTAGTTGAATGTTTAACCATTTGTTTACTAATATAGACTCCTAGTATGCCAGATGTTTATATAAATAATGTGCGTGTGGTATGGTTTTTGAAAACCATGCAACTCCCTCAAGTGTTACTTTCCTATGCACACCCTATGTGTGTATGTTTTATTTATGTGAGTGCATTTTATGTAAAAATATGGTATGCATATCCCATGCAATATTTGGGACCTATTTATGCTAAAAAATATTAATTGTGTATCTGAAATTAAAATTCAACTGGGTACCCTGAATTTTTATTTGCTAAATCTGGCAACACTAGAAAGAATTAAGTTAATTCTTATAGCCATCTCCTTCATAAGCCATTCTTTTGTTTAAAGGGTCAGTCTTTTAATGGCCTATGCGTCCCTCTTCCTTCAGGTCCCCAGGTGTAGGGACTAGAATTGTCCTCCCTACTCTGACATCCCTTACTCAGGCATCTTCTCCAAAGGAAGATAAGTAGGAGCTGGAGAAGGACCAGGCACAAGATGTTAAAGCTTAGAGAAGGAAGAGATATTGTCCTGTTTCCTTTCTGTCCCTCCACCTTCCCTGAGGGTTCAAGGGGGAGTGGAAACCGATACCTACATGGGGCCAGGGGCAAGAGTGTTGCTACTGGCAAGAGTGTTGCTACTGGCTCTTACGTAGGAACAGGGTGAAAATGCTGAGCCGGTCACATCTAACTTTAGGAGGCCAAAATGCCTCTTCCCTCTCTGGATCTGGTTACACTGGGTGGAGCATGGGGGTGTGCCTGCTAGGGTGGCCAGGAGAGTCTCCTGAAGGAGCTAGCAGGGTTATTTTTAGGTTTTGTAGCTGAACCCAGTGTTGCCCTTTTGGGCACCCTTTCCCCCACCCAGCTACAATTTCACTGTCAGGAAGTCCTGGTCCAACAGGCACAAGAGGAGGAAGGAGAGAGGGAGAAGAAAATACCATGTGTTGGACAAGCTGAAAAAGGGAGGGGCAGAGCTCTGTCTTCAGATGAAGGCTGGTTCTCCATTGCCAACTCCACCCTCTCAAAGCTGAACTATGCAAGCCGAAGCCTGGGTCCTTTTTACCTTAGTAAGGAGAAGATAAGGAATGTAGTTAATGAGCTGCCTTCGCCTAAGATGTAATTGGAGGAACTGAGCCAAGGGGTCCCACCTCTCAAAGAGAGTTTCTCTCCTCTCAGCCAAGCTATTTACCCACCATGCATTGGAGAAGGAATCTGAGTGGGTTCAGTGTCTGCCAGTTGGCCCTTGTCTCTGATTACCTCCTCCTTGTCTGTACATAGTTCTCATTGTGTGTTCCCTGCATTCATCACTAGCTCTCACCTAACTTTGTCTACTTTTTTTCAGGATCACTTCCAGAAGTTCCTTCCTACAGTGGGGGGTCAGCTGGGTACAGCTGGTCAGGGATTCTCCTACAGCAAGGGCAGTGGTGGAGGCCAGGCAGGGGGCAGCGGCTCTGCTGGACAGTATGGCTCCGCCCAGCAGCACCATCAAGGCTCTGGCACTGGCTCTGGCTCTGGCTCTGGAGGCACAGGTGGCCCTGGGGGCCAAGCCGGCAGAGGAGGAGACGGCACAATGGGAGTTGGTCAGTCAGGAACAGGTAAATGCCTTCAATCTAAGCATAATATGTCTAGGCCTTAGAGCAAGGATGCACACCTTCAGGAATGAGGTCTAGACTGGGTGTGGCGAGTAGGGGAGACTAGCTGAATTATCTAGGTGAACTGCTGTATCCAAAAGCACACAGAGATGTGTCTGTTCCACCCAAAGCTTGATTTTTAAGATCCAGTTGTAGATCTGACTCCAAGCTGTCATTATGCCACAAACCTTACACAATTACCAGAATATCATATCTTTGGCTTCCAAACCCTAATGCAAGGATATGGGATCAACTGACATGTTTTTGACTTACTTTTCTCTCCCATGACTTTCAGGAGACCAGGCAGGTGGAGAAGGAAAACACATCACTGTGTTCAAGACCTATATCTCCCCATGGGAGAGAGCCATGGGGGTTGACCCCCAGCAGAAAGTGGAACTTGGTATTGACCTGCTGGCCTATGGGGCCAAAGCTGAACTCCCCAAGTATAAGTCCTTTAACAGGTAGGAATGGTGAGGAAAGAACCAGATGTATTCCAGTGTGTGGGATGGAGATTTTGGTTCAAATGTTTCAGGAGGATAAAGAGTGATGGGAAAAATATGGAAGCTTTAAGTGAAAGCCTAGAAGTCCTGGTGATGTAATGGTTAAATGTTGGGCTGCTAACCAGAAGGTCGGCAGTTCAAACTCATCAGCCATTCTGTGAGAGAAAAATGAGGCTGTCTGCTCACATAAAGGTGTTTCGGAAATCCCAAGGAGCGGTTCTACTCTGTCCTATTGGGTTGCTGTGAGTTGGATCTCCTCAATGGCAATAGATTTAAGGGAAGGCCTTTGCTTGTACTCTTAGTGTGCAGAAGGAAAATCTTGCTAAGAGAAAAGATCTGAGTTCCGTGGTGCCTAAGCCACTCATGAGCTATGTGGTCATGGGAAGGTCGCTCACTTCTGAGCCTGGGTTGCCTTGAATGTAAAATGAGAATAATATATTATTACCTGTTTGAAGGCCTCTTTTGAGGATCCCTTCCACTCAAGGTCTAGGACTCTCTAACTCTCCTGTAGTATGATTCAATCTCCTTATACCCTACTTTTTAGGAAGGCTCTAAGTGTCTACTCTCTATCTTCATAGATCATGGAAATCTGTATGCAAGCACTGAGTCCTTTCACCCAGCCCTCCACTGTCCACTGGGGGGTGGGGGGGGGGCTCTACATTATCATTTAAGGTGGCCTCAGAGTATTGGGTCTATAGAGTTTGTGGTCACTTTCTCTGAGAAACATGCTACTCTGAGCCACAACTAGTTCTGAGATTCTCAATCTAGTGCCCAAAGAACCCTGGTGTCACAGTGGTTAAATTCTTGGCTGCCAACCAAAAGGTTTGAATCCATTCAGTGGTTTGAATCCATCACCTGCTCCATGGTACAAAAGATGTGGCAGTTTGCTTCCATAAAAATTACAGCCTTGGAAACCCTATGGGAGCAGTTCTAGCCTGTCTTATACGTTTACTATGATTTGGAATCAACTCGGCAGGGAATCCTCTTATTATTAGCTTTCAGAAATCAAGCAAAGCAGATTTCCCCACCCTCAGAACGGGCTCAAATCTCAGTTGTAAGGCTCTGGTTTTTTTTGTTTGTTTTGTTTTTTAATCTGTTTTTTAAATAATGTATCCTTTCTTAGGACGGCAATGCCCTATGGTGGATATGAGAAGGCTTCCAAACGCATGACTTTCCAGATGCCAAAGTTTGACCTGGGGCCCCTGCTAGGTGAGCCCTTGATCCTTTTCAACCAGAACCTCTCCAACAGGCCGTCCTTCAATCGTACCCCTATTCCCTGGCTGAGCTCTGGGGAGCATGTAGACTACACCGTGGATATTGGCATCCCCTTGGATGGAGAAACTGAGGAGCTGTGAGGTGTTTCTCCTCTACTTTGCATCGTTTCCCTTCTCTGGTTCCACTTGAGAGGGGGAATGCTAAACAGGATACCCCATGTAAATCCAGTATCCTTGTGGGAATGGAGAAAAAAGGAGGGAGAGATCTGCCTTTCTGTCCTTTAGTCCAAGTCCCCACTCCAAGCACCCCTCCTTACCAACTCAGAGATCCCTTTCCATTTGCTCCATATGGAACCTGCTCTTTTAAGGAATTTGCTCTGCACCAGTAACAGCCAATAAACTTTAAGGAAATGAACTCATTCTTCCTCTGATAATTGAAGGCAGACAAAAGCGGAGGCTAACAATGCACAGAGAATAATTAAAGCCAAATACTAAGCATTCATTACTCAGACTTCAAGACCAGACCTGAACTCTGGTTGCTTACACACCCACATCCACACCTCCGAAACCACATTCAAAGGTAGATACAAAACATACTTATTCAGTAGAGCATGAAACAAATAATCACACACAATACACATGCTAGCCCTTAAGTGGGCAAAACTATTGTGCACTAAGGTTAGGAAATAGGTTTTGGTGACCCTGACTGCAGTTGTTAGCTGCCTTTCTGTAGCTGATTGGAAGAGGCTGAGATCATCAGAGTTACTCAACTGTCACAGAACCTCTTAGAGCATGCCATTTTCCAGATGACCCCAGAGTGGATTTACAGCAACATATGTATCAAAGGTTACAGATTCTCAAAAGGATGAAATAGACTAGGAAACCAGGTTGCATCTAGAGGGGAATGGGAGAAACCAACTAGAGTTTATAACATGCCTGGTTGTGAGAGAACACAGCAAGAAAAGACCTAAAGTCGCAGGGCCACCTCGGTATTGTTCTGAAAGTAGTGATTGGGAAGAAACCATGAAAGTCTAATGGGAATGAGCAACACCAACTTTTTTTTTTTTTTAATTGATTTCAAGTATGGGGTCTCTCTAGAGTCCCTGACTTATTTCTGTGTTCTACAAGGTAAGGAATGATGTAGACCATGAAGAATAAAGAGATTATTCAGTAGGGTCTGGAAAAATAACTTCAGTAGAGCTTGCTAATTTTCAGCTAACTCTACTCTATGAGTTGTCAATGGCTATATTAAGTTGTTTAGACTGATCCAATTTTAGTGAACCTTGACATTTTCTCAGGTCAACTAACTCTACAATGTAAAGAGTGAATTTTAGGGAATTCACACACCCTCTTAAACTTGTATACAAAATTCGATTTCTATGTTCATTTTTCTAAGGAGAGATCTGCGTAGTTTGGATCTTCCCTAAACTGATTCTGAAATAAAGATTTGGATGCCAGTGATCCCAGAAATCCAAGCAGGATAAGGGAGTCTTAGGAAAGTCAATCAAGGGTGCTTTGGGGCTGAATCCCACTGGAAACTCTCTGAGAACAATGCTATTTAAATTGTGGTCCATGGACTGGCATCTTCAGTAGCTTCTGGGAGCTTGGTTAGAAACACAACTTTTGGGCTCAGGAATCTATTACTCTTTCCATGTGATTCTTACATGCTAGCAAATGTTGAGAAACAATACAGTATAACATACCTCAGAATTACCCTGATGAGGTACTGGAATATTTATCTACCAAATCCCATCTCTCATTGGTTGTGGATTCCTTTTGGTACTGTTAACTTATGAAGGGAAAGTTAATACTGGCACTTCTAGGGAGAGCTTACATGCTAGTAGGCATAGAGATACTTAGGTGTTTGATCTAAGAAGCTATGGTACTGTACAGGATCCGTTTACCAAAATTGTAGTGGATTCTAGGGGAGACAGAGGGGAAATGAGCACAGATAGAATCTGAATGAGGATTCATAGCTATCATCAGATTTTCATGTTTATCAGTCTGTGAGCGTCCCAAAATGATCTACTTTTGAAAATCAGCCAGTGAAAACTCTATGGATCACAACAATATGGATCTATATAACCTATCATGGGAATCTTCATACACCAGACAGCATTTTATTCTGTTGTTCATGGGGGTCACTATGAGTTGGGGGCCAACTCAACGGCAGCTAACAACAATAACAACTATGTACCAGGTCCTATGTCAGACATAAGAGATACAAAGATGAGTAACAACTTACATGTGGTAAAGAGATTTATTTCAAAGTCAACCACAAAATATCTATTAGATGCTTAGCCTTGCAGTCGAGGGCAGTGGTGGTTTGAGGATAGACTCATCTTCCACGCAGGAGATCACCCCGGCAGCAATCACCATCCATTTAACAGCGGAGGTTTGTGTGTTGTGAAGATGCTGCACATGTTTTTAGTGGCGAAGCCAGAGGAGCTTTCTCACTAAAGCAGACGAGAAAGACTAGCAATAGAATTAAAAAAAAAAAAAAAAGTCCGTCAATGAAAATTCTATGGATCACAACAATCTGATGCTGTTGCACATGGGATAGCCATGAATCTGGGATCGCCTCTACAGCAGCTAAGACAGCCCTTAAAGTAGTGGGAGAAAAGTCCAGCATTTATCAGTCAACAGATGTGAAAACCTAGAGACTTATTTTTTTGCTGAGCACAGAATATCTGAAATGCTTAAATATGACAAAAAAAAATGGTGCAAATTTATCAACTTACAGGAATCCCAGGTTGTTTGTGAAATTATCTCCTAAATAGGAAAGCCGAATTATTATCATGAATTTAATTGGTAACTCCGAAAAAAAAAGGATAACCTTTGTGGAAAGCATCATCAAACAATGTTGACTTGACACATAAAAATGCATGTTTGCATAGGATCCAGCCTGAAATCCAGTCACATTCTCAATCTCTGGTATCCCTTAGCCTGGACACCATTTTCTTTTCTTTTTTTAAGAATCATATGGATTAATACACGCATTTTTTCCGCAAATATTTCTACCATGACTATAGGATGACCAAACACTATTAAACACAAAAACAACAAATTGAAGAAAAACTTCCTAGGTATGTTACCTGAGCCAGAAAATTTTAATTTGTGTTGCATTTTATATTGTATTTAATTTCCAAACTGAATCAGCAATTTAATACCAAAAGAATCTAAGCACTTAATATGAAATAATCATTGACCACTTCCATTAATCCAGTGGGGGAGTAAACTCATGTGCTCATTAAAGTATTTACTGATTGTTTGTCCATGGCTAGATTGTTCACTTTTAAAGTATTATTGTAGTATAGTATAAAAAGGATACGGGAAAATAATATAGTAAAACCTACGAAAGTCAGAATCTCTGACACCAGTCAGAGAAGGAAAATTCACTGGGTGTGTATGAGGTGTTGTTAAATGTTGTGGAGTAGGTTCTAATTCATAACAATTCAGTGTAGGGTTTCTGAGGCTTTCCATCTTTTGCAGTAGCAGAAGGCTTCATCTTTCCCCAACTTTTATGAGGTTGTTGTTGTTAAGTGCCGTCGAGTCTGTATAGGGTTTCCAAGGAGCAGCTGGTGAGCTTGAATCACCAATCTTGCAGTTCAAACTGACTTTGCAGTATGATGCATAGGCCCACAGCGCCACACCAGGACTCGCTTATGTAGGATTCATAATAGAGAGTGATAAAACACTGATAAGAAAGAAAAAAAAAAAAAGCTAAAACTACACTCTGTCAAAGGTGGGAAGCTTTTGAGACTCAGACAAACAAGGTGGTCCAGTCAAATTTCAGGTTTCAATGTATTACCAATAAGTTGGAATTCTACTTGATGGTGATGGTGTTTAATAGGGTCCCTGGAGCTGCTAGTAGATTCGAACTGCTGACCTTGTGGTACACAATTTTCTTTTAAAACATCTTTGCTCAAAAAGATTTCTCACATTTGAATATCATAGTACACAGGGTCACATATTGGAAGCAGAGTTGCCTATACTGTTCATAGACATCTTTAGTTTGTTTTATTGTACTTTAAAACTCTGGAGAGGTAGTCCTTTTAGATGGGGTTTATAATCTCCAGTGGGTCCTAATCCTGCTACTAGTTATTGTTTTGCACTAGGTAATTTTCTCTTTTTTTGTACTCAGTGTCTTTTTTTTTAAAAAACTTTTTATTGTGAATTGAGTGAAGGTTTACAGAGCAGATCATAAGTTTTACATTTGACAAATCATACACTTCATTTCATTTTAATGACTGCAATCCCCTTCGTGTACCATCAGTTAACAGTAATTACTTCTATTCTTTAATTTCTTTGGTTAATATTACTTGCCTAACCTCTGCAGCCATCTGAGTGAGCAACTTCAAGGGTTTCTTTTACACCACCGCCTCCATCCCCAGGGCCTTTCCCTTAAATCAACTACATAGCTCACTCCCTAATATAGAATCTAGAGCAGGGGTAGGGAATGTCAGGCCTAAGGGTATATGTTGTTGTTAAGCGCCATCGAGTCTGTTGGTTCCGACCCATAGCAACCCCCCAAGAGCAACCCTATATAATGTTTCTGAGGAGCGACTGGTGAGCTTGAACCGCCAACGGTGTGGTTCAAATCGACTTTGCAGTCCAGTGCATTAACCCACAGCACCACACTAGGAGGCCCTCAAAATCATTTGAACTGGCCCTGCCAAAGTAATGCAGTTTCAACCATCACGTTGGTGGTAGTGTGCCATGGAATCGATTCCAACTCAAAGCGACCCTGTACAGGGTTTCCGAGGCTGTAAATCTTTATGGGAGCAGAAAGCCTCATGTTTCTCCCTGTGAAACAACTGGTAGTTTGGAACAGCTGATCTTGAGGTTAGCAGCCCGATTTCTAATCTTGACGCTACCACTATGAGCTCCTTAGGAATGAGTAAATTAAATGTTTGACCAAATAAAGCAGGCTAATTTTTAAGTTGATAATTTTTTATGGCCCACAAATGATGTTATATATTTTGGCCAAACGAATTTTCCCCACCTATGCTCTAGAGCTACTGGTAGCGTAGTGGTTACGAATCGGGCTGCGAACCTTAAGGTCAGCGGTTCGAAACTACCAGCTGCTCCGTGGGAGAAAGATGAGGCTTTCTACTCCTGTAAGGATTTACACCCTCGGAAACCCTGTACAGGGTCGCTATGGGTCGGAACCGACTCGACGGCACTTAACAACAACAACAACAACATGCTCTAGAGCTACTGGTAGCGTAGTGGTTACGAGTCGGGCTGCGAACCTTAAGGTCAGTAGTTCGAAACTACCAGCTGTTCCGCGGGAGAAGATGTATCCGTAGAGTGGCAAGTAGTAGGTGCAAAGGTCAAATGAGGAAAAACATCCAAAGCTAAACACCTAGGCTTATGTCCAATTTTATTCTTTTTAACTTTTGCTTCTT